AAAATATCCATCTTTTTGCTTATTCGGTAGACAATTACGTCTTCTTCCAACCTTATACTCAAAGGAAGGGTATTATTCGGTTTTCAAAACTTTTCCAATTCCTGAATACTTTTGAACCCGCTCTACCGTTAGACTTGGATTCAGGGTTTCCAAACTACAAGCCGTATATTTTCCACGTACGGAAAACCACACATTTCTCCGTGATAATAAAGAGGGAGCAAATAGGGTTCATAAAATTTAGCATTGAAATTGATCCATATTGTCAACTTTACAAGCCACATTAGTAAGTGCAGAGACATGACGATTTATGAACGGCCATTTCACGCTATTTAAAAGTCCCACAAGTAGAACCTGTTTAAAACCTGATTTTGTCCCTCCTTCGAATACAAAATTAGAAGAATACGTAATTATCTACCAAATGAGCAAAAGAATGAATATTGTTATGCATGCTTTCCATGAACTATAATTGGACTTTTAGGGGCATCGAAAATCAACGAGAAAAATTCGTGCCATTTAAGTAGTCGTTTTTTGCAGAGTATAATTTTTGCATGCAGTCGGAAGGAAGTTCGTTCAAAAGCTGACATCCTGAGAAACCTAAAATATTACAGAGTTATGTTGCAGGCTGGCTACTTTTACAACCCTACTTAGTCATTCTTTTCGAAACGAAGACACATTTCGGAATTTCGGTTGACATTTCACGAGTTAGTTCACCTACTGTAATCCTACTGCACAACATCACGCAAAAATACACACGACAGTTCCATTGTTGTTTCTCATGAGGTACATCACGTGGCGCAGGTATGGTGACTTGCGCAGTATCTACGTCATTATCTCCTTCTCTTCCCCTATCTAGATCCGGTGTCACTAGAGTCAAGAGGACCAGGGGAGGGAGAGGCCACAGGTGGCTGTCGCGGCGTATACCCGCAATTAGCCGTACCCTCCCACCCCCTGGCCCACAACACGCATCGACCCGGATGTAAACACCAAGACAATAGGGGGTGACACGCATCCCGTGCCGTAAGCCGACACATGGGCGCACTACCACACTTCCCATGTCGGCATTACCGACAAAGCCTCCCTATGTTGCTCCATAGCATCTACAGCGTGGCCCGTGTAAAAAACACACACGACAGTTCGACCGTCATTGCCGACGATGTCTACCGTGTATTTTGCAATAGGTTGCGAGCGGTGACGGTGGCTTGCGCTGCGTCTACCGCACTCGCTCCTACTCTTTTACCTGCATCCGGCGTCATGATTAGAAGACCGGAGTTGGGAGAGGCCGCAGGTTATAGACGCGTGGAAAATCCTCACGCAGGCGTGCCACTACACCATCTTGTCCACTGTAGACGCTGGCCAGGTCTTTGAACAACCGAAATGAGAAGGAGGATCGCACGGATCCCAGTTGGCGGGGCGTGGGCATGCAAGTGGGTCTGCCGCAAAACCCCAGATGTTGGCATTTATTATGGGCGGAATAATGCCCGTCGGACTCCCATAAGTGTTGGTTCAGTGAATTTACAGCCCGTCCCGTTCTAGGGGCAGCTTGGGCACACGACAATGACAGTTCGGCCGTCAGTCTCGATTATGTCCACAGTGTGCTACACAGCTTAGTGATTTGTGCGTTAATTAGTTTATACGGGAAAGCAAAACTTGCGCTTCCTCAAGCGCACACTCTACACCTCCGCCACACTGACCGAGTGTCAGGACAGAGTCAAAAAGACCGGAGGTGGGAGAAGGCGCAGGCGATTGGCACGAGGAAACACACACACACACACGCATACTGCCATTCGACGTTAAAATGTTCTTTTAGATGTTCTTACGACAGACAAGATCCCAGCTCTAGGGCTGATTTTGAGACCGCGCCCCACAGTATATGCAGCAGTTAGGTCAACTCATGAAACTACAAGCGAAAATCCGAATTACGTTTTCGTTTCGAAAAGATTACTTGAATAGAGTTGTCAAACTAATCATCATGCAGCACCATTATATAATGATTCAGTTACTTCGGGATATCGGCTTTCGAACAAAATCCTTTCCGGCTGCATGCACAAAATATACTCAACGAAAAATGACTACTTATATAGCATGCACTTGTCTCTCTGACTTTCGATGCCCATAAAAATTCAGTTATATTTTATGGAAAACATGACTAAAACTATTGATTCGTTTCCTCACTCGGTAGAACATTACATCTTCATCCAATTATGTACTCAAATAAGGGTGTAATTCGGTTTTTTAAAAAACTTCCTTATTCTCGAATAATTTTGAAATTGACCTGCCGTTACACTTGCATTCAGGGTTTCCAAACTACAAATCAAATAATTTCCCGCCTACGGAAGACCATGCATTACTCTACGGTATTAACGGAATTCATAAAATTTAGGAGTGGATTAGGTTGAAATCTGTGCTGAGGATGGTCATCTGGTTTGCAAAGATTGCATGCCTCCTGAATCAAGCCAAAACATTAGTTTCACACGCACACACCCATTTTGTAAGAAAATGAATATAGACAGGAAAGGCAGCAGGTGTCTTAATGTGAAAAAAGTTCACTAGGTCATGACCGTTTGGAAGTAAACGTGTTCTAACTCGACCGGAGGCCATCCAGGCTAATATGGAGAGATTTCTTGAGGTTAAAAAAGTGCCGGAATATATTCTGCCAAACATCATGCAACACTCCTCTCCGTGGATGGTCGCGTGTCCACATTAATCACGCTGGTACTTTTGGCTTTTGGCTCCTACGCTGTCGACTGCAGTTAGCCGGAAAGTAGGGAGTACTCAAAGTAAGAATGGTGTATGAGCTGGTACTTGTGAACCACATGTATTCTATTCCATTTGAGTCCCAAGTGCTCCTAGACCGGGGGTTGGGTGGACAATAAACAAGAAACGATGGAAGGGGACGCTCACCGATCGTTCTTATGGAACTCACTCGTTTCGTTGTGCCTTATGGGTTCTCTTTCTCGGGCCCAACCAGCAGCCGTACGGGGGCACATGATATAGACAGTATGTTATTACCGACAAAGACAAGGGCGACTAGAATGGCCATTTCTGGCTTATTAGCCGTCGTCAGCCAGTCATACCCAACCCGAAGTGTGGAACACCCGAGGCTCGAATTCGCGGGTGTTCCACACTTCGGGGTTGGGTATGACTGGCTAACGACGGCGGTTAATAAGCCAGAAATGGCCATTCCAGTCTCCCTTGTCTTAGTCGGTAATGCCAAACAAGAAACGGCCAC